GGCGCGGCTGGGTAGAGTGTGTGTTGGGGGACGCTGGGCCATCAGGTCCGAGGGCAGCTCCCTAGTATGTGACACCCCCCCACCCCCGCCGCCCAGGTCCTCCTGCAGGAGCCCAACCCCGGCGTTGAGTTCGAGTTCTGGCTCCCCCGGGAGCGCTATGGCCCGTTCCAGGCGCAGGCTCAGGCCCAGAGCTGGTCCCTGCGGCAGCCGCAGCCTCGGGAGGTAGATCCTCAGTCCCCTGAGTCTCCCGCTGCCCCCACTGTTATCCCCCCACGGACCCCAGGCCCCACCCCAGGTGAGCTGGGGACAGCCTGGGCGGGGGCGAGCAGGGAGGCAAGGCCTGTGCCCCTGACTGCGCTGCCCCCGCAGACCCCTGCCCACCCTGCCCTGACACCCGCGGTCGTGCCCACCGGCTGCTCCACTATTGCGGCAGCGACTTTGGTGAGAGGCCCTTGACCCCATCCCTCACCTGGCCCCTAATTGACCTGAACTTGACCCCTATCCAGCTGACCTCTGACCCTGGTCTGACTTTGCCTTTCACTCCTTGACCTGACTCCAGCTTGACCCCTCCTGACGCTCATTTGACTCCCTGATCTAATCCTTTGCCCTAATCTGACTCCTAACCCCTCACTGATCCTTGAGCTGACCCTCACCCCAGGCCTCAGCTGACCACAGTCCCCAAGGGCCCCCAATGCCCCACCTGACCCCCAGTTCCCTCGTCTGGAAAGGGGTGTGTGGATGGGCCCCGGGGCGGAGCGTCCAGCCGGGCTCAGCACCACCCTGCCCGCAGTGTTCCGGGCCCGCGTGCTAGGCCGCGTCCGGCAGGCCCAGGAGACCCGATATGAGGTGCGCGTGCAGCTCATCTACAAGAACCGCTCGCCACTGCGGGCCCTCGAGTATGTGTGGGCGCCGAGCCGCTGCCCCTGCCCACCGCTGGCCCTCCATCGGGACTACCTGCTGGCGGCCCGGCGCCTCATCAGCCCCGATGGCACTCAGGACTGGCTGCTGCTCCCCCATGCTGGCTACGCCCGGCCCTGGAGCCCCGCCGAGGACAGCCGCGTGCGCCTGGCCGCCAGACACTGCCCCCTCTGAGCCCCTGGACCAGACCTCGGCCACACACGGCTGACCAGGCTCAAAGTCAGCATATTTCCCCTCTTGCCATAGCTTCCAGGGAGCTCAGAACTATCTCCCACCTGCAGCTCTGTGACTCCCCACCACACACACTCAGACACCCCTGCACTCAGTCAGATCCACTGTCGGAAGCAGGCACGCACTGGTGAGGATACACTAAATGGACTCTTTAGCTCTGATTTCCTCTCTCACCCTGGCTGCCAGGAAACTCATAGTTATTTTACTCTCAGAGACTCTGTGTCTGCTTTTATTCCACTTGCCTCACACTCATTTGCTGGGAGACACTGTCACACACAAGCATGGCCCCGACGAAGACATGCCTAAGGAGACCTTGTAATGTATCCATTTCCCCTCTTGCCCTGGCTACCGGGAAGCTCAACACTGTTTAACCCCCTGACACTCTGTCTCTCCCTTCTCATTGCCACTTAACACACGCACCCTCACGTATTCAGAGACGCTGTTAAAAACAGGCATGACCCCCTAGTAAACATGCCTACCCAGGCACTGTAACATACCAATTTCCCCTTTTGCCCTGGCTACCAGGAAGTTCAGAGATAATCTTGACAGCTTCCGCAATCTGGGGGGAGGCGGGAGGGCTCCCTCCAGGCAACACTGCTGTTCACCCCTTTTTTATTCCTATTTAATTTTTTTTTTTTTTTTTTGGGT